AATAAATTTTTTGTATATGTTAATTTATTAAAAATATTTTAATTTTTTATTATTTTTTTCATATTTTAGTTATAAAAAAAACCACGATTTTCTTTCATTACCAATTCGAAAAACACTCTAACCACAATGCCAATCAAAAATATAATTTAATGTTGTTACTAAATACATTTTTTTATTTTTTATAATTAAAGTATCTCTAAATCAACTTTTACATATTTTAAAATTAATTTTTTTTAATTTAATTAAAAATAAATCATTCACATTCAGATTAAAAAGCTTATAAAAAATTAAGTTTTTATTAACTTTTTTTAATTAAATTTTAATGATTAAGATAAAGAGGCAACCCCTACCAAACGCTTATTAGTTGTTAAGAAAAAAAAATTTTTTTTGAACAAGGGCAAATTACAAGGGGAAAGGAAAAGGAAACGGGCCTGAGTTGGTAGAAGCATCAATAATTCGTAAGTTTAATATATACATTTAAGTAATTGATAAATTTCAAATTTTCAATTAATTTTATCTGAATATCAAGATTTAAAGACTTATAATTAGATTCTGGACCGGCTGTAGTTGTTAAGAATTTAAACTTTGATGTGGGTGGTCTGTCTCATAAAAAGTGTGAAAAGAATGCAAGCAGAGAATGATCAAAATACTTAATATATAAAATTGGGTAATTAGATCCAATGATTCAACCTCAAACCTTAAATATTTTGGTGAGATAGTCGGAATTTCGAATTCTACCATCATCGGAATTTCGAATTCTACCATCATCGTGAATTCCATAAAAAAGTAACTTGATGGCCGCGCGCCTTATTTGAGGGGATGAAATATTAACCCAATTTGAGAACCAGTTGTTAACAATTAATTCATATTAACTTCTTAATCATTACTTTTATTAAAAAAATATATACTTAATACATAATTCAATACGAGATTGTACTAAAATATTAATTAACCACCATCACCCTTGTTTTAATTGGCCTTCACGTGCATCCACTACCCCATTCCCATAAATTCCAAAAACAAGACAAAAGAACCAACCCCCTCATCAAATGCCCCTCCCAACGTTAAACCCACCATGAAAAAGAGACGAAAATGATCCAAAGCGCCACACCGAACAAAATAAACAGTTCCTCCTTCAGAATTCTGCAGATTTGAAGGTCAATTTTCTGTTCTTTTTTAGTACAAAAACTCAAAATGTGTTATGTGGGGAAAGCAACAAAGATCTTCATTTTCATAGTCACTGTCCTGGTTGTTCTAGGTCTTGTCTTGGGATTCGGGCTCCTCCGCCACGGCCTTCAAAAAACCCACAAATGCTCCGGCGATTCCTGTTTTTCCCCTTCTTCTCCTTCTTCCCCCATTGTCTTCCCCAACCCAACCTCCTCTTCTTCCCCGCCGGGCACCAACCCTCCATCCTTTGGGTCAACCCAGCCCAGCCCACCTACTTCGATTCCCAGCCCGAACCCACCCATCTCAAACCCTCCCCCTTCATCCATCCCACCACCAACTCTTCCTAGTCCTACTGAAAACCCCAACCCACCCCCACCCATTACAAACCCTAACCCTCCACCGCAATTTTCGCCGCCTCCTCCGCCTCCATCCACTGCAACATTGGCTCCGCCGCCGCTCAATCCACCGAATCCAGCGCTTGTGACTCCAGGTCCTGTCAATTCTTAGCTGGTTAGTTGTTAATTCTGAGTTATTAAATGCCATTTTTTTACTAGCTGCTGTATTTTCTTGCTTTAGATTTAATTCTTTTCCTGGACGACATTGTATAGTAGAGATCAGCTCTTTCTTTCTTTCTTTCTTTCTTCTTTTTATTTTTTTTTTTTAAATTAGCTTTTATATTAATGACATCTGATTTGCATTTTTGTATTTGTTCCTCAATTCTCGAAAGCAGCGAATTCCTTTCCTTTTTATCTTGGAAAAAAAAAATTGTCAAAAGATGTGTCAATTCGGTTGACTAATTAATTGAAGGACCAAAAAAAGGTTATTCATTTATCGAAAAATTGTCTTGCATCACAATAAGGAAGGACGAATATTTTGATGTCGAGACTCTCGTTCCATTTAGTGTTTCTGTTTTACAGTATAATATAATTGAATTATACTTATGAG